TGATATAAAGCTATTTGTAAATCTTTATGTATCTCACTTATGGATCTATATAAGAGTGTAAGGAAAGGGGCGGGACAGTTACTGTGCTTGATATAAAGCTATTTGTAAATCTTTATGTATCTCACTTATGGATCTATATAAGAGTGTAAGGAAAGGGGTGGAACAGTTACTGTGCTTGATATAAAGCTATTTGTAAATCTTTATGTATCTCACTTATGGATCTATATAAGGGTGTAAGGAAAGGGGTGGAACAGTTACTGTGCTTGATATAAAGCTATTTGTAAATCTTTATGTATCTCACTTATGGATCTATATAAGAGTGTAAGGAAAGGGGCGGAACAGTTACTGTGCTTGATTAGGAGTGCTGTCCCCGATTGGCCTGCGGCTGTTATATAATATAAGGTACATGTGCTATATAACCTTTCTAAAATCCAAACAGTTCTACATTTTGCAACACACTTGAGCCCAGGAATTTCACATAAGGGATTATGGACCCATACATTATTGTGAAATCTGTAACTCCAACAGTCATTCATTCCCTAGAGCCAAGGGTTGTACCTATTACTGGGCTGGGGTCAGTTTCCTCATTTTAGGCTTCCTTTAATCTAGACTAGATACTGGGTTAAATGTATTTGGGTGTCCCCTCTGAAGCCTCTTGAGATCCCAATCACGCTTCAGGGTAGGAATGAGCCCGTAAATCTGAGACCCTGTCCCTAGTGATATAAGGAAAATTTTGCAAGGCATGGGATTCGGAGGAAAGTAAACCAGAAGACAACTGTAACAAGCACCTCTTCTCCTCAGGTGTTTTCAGATTCCAAATTTGAACCTTTAGCCACCCTCAGTAGCAACGTCCCCATTCTGTCCTGTGGAGGGCTGGCCAAGCGCTGGCTGGTTCCTGGCTGGAGGATGGGCTGGATCCTCATCCATGACCGAAGAGATATTTTTGGCAATGAGGTGAGAGCAATGTGGTGAAATAGTATGTCTAATTTAGGGGTGATTATATTTATATATATTTTTCTAAATATTTATTTATTTACTTTGCATGCACAGTGGTAAGGAGGTAAGGAGTTTTTTTCTTTCTTTTTGGCCCTGTAGTTCCGTGTGCCTGGAAAGACACTGGATACAGACAGTACTAGTTATTCCTCTCCAAAACTCAGTTTTTCTGTCTTGGTGAGGAAGTTCCATCCACCTCCAATTTTAGTACCACAAAAAAGGAAACAATAGCGGTAATGATACCTAATATTGTTTGTGGGATTACAATGTGCCAGTGCTTTATGTACTTTATTTCAATTTAATTATCCTAACAACCCTGTGAGGCCAGTATTAGTATTACCTCCATTTCACAGGTAAGAAATATGAGACACAGAGAGGTTGTATAATTTGCCCAGAGTCACACAGCCAGTGCACGGCAGAGCTGGGCTACAAACCTAGGTGGTCTGATCTAAGAATGACACGAGGTACCATCACTTCTCCAGAGATTAAAAACTTGATAGAGGACTTCCCTGGTGGTGCAGTGGTTGAGAGTCCACCTGCCGATGCAGGGGACACGGGTTCGTGCCCCGGTCCGGGAAGATCCCACATGCCGCGGAGTGGCTGGGCCCTTGAGCCATGGCCGCTGAGCCTGCGCGTCCAGAGCCCATGCTCCGCAACAGGAGAGGCCACAACAGTGAGAGCCCTGCATACGGCAAAAAAAAAAAAAAAAAACTTGATAGAATTGGCAGAACAAGGATCTCCACAGTGGGGATGCCTAAGAAAAGCTAAATAATGTGTTTGCCGGGGGGCTTTTAGATCCGAGATGGGCTGGTGAAGCTGAGTCAGCGGATCCTGGGACCCTGCACCCTTGTCCAGGGAGCTCTGAAAAGCATCCTGCATCGCACCCCTCAAGAGTTCTACCACAACACTCTAAGCTTCCTCAAGGTAAGGGCAGCCCATGACTTTCCACTCTGGGAGTCAAGGAATGCCACCAGTGGAATTTGAAATAATGGGTCCTCATTTCTGGAGCAATGCTCCATTATGGGGCTTCCAAACCAGGAGGTGGCATCAGTGTAAATATCTACCCACACATTTCTCTAACTTCTGGCAGTCCACCCTGCTCCTGGCCAAAAGCTTCAAGTGGCAGAGTTTTTATCTTGTTACCCCTTATGCCAGGAGAGCAAACTTAGGTTCCCTGCCTTTGATGTGGGCTCTCCTTTTAATGACTTGGTTTTTCTTTTGCTTAACTTCTCATCCTTGATGTCTCTGTCTCCTCTCGTAGTCCAATGCAGATCTCTGCTATGGGGCATTGGCTGCCATCCCTGGACTCCGGCCCATCCGCCCTTCTGGGGCCATGTACCTCATGGTGAGTATGTGGGTGGCAGGCAGTTGGTGGTAGGCGGGGGAAGCCAGTCTGCAGGGCTCACGAAGACAACCACATGGGCTCCTGAGCCAGTCAGTTTAGGAACTGCCTTGTTCTGAATTGTCCCAACAATGTGGTTTAACCTCAGTGCTAAAAAAAAGAAAAAGGAAGAAAAAAATTCTTAAAATGACTTAATTCTTCATACAGAGACTCATTTTATATGTAGATACAGGGATGACATAAGACACAGATAAGAGGCTTTCCACACTACTGTAATTCTCACCTAGGAGAGATCTGGTTCCCTAGGAATATTTGGGGATATATAGGAATTTTGTCTGTTTTCAGAAAGACTGTGTGGGGTGCTATTGGCATTTTGTGGGCCAGGGATGCTAAATATTTTTCAATGGGCAGGGTAGTTCCATGCAATCAAGAATAGCCTGGCCCATAATGATAATAGTGCCTTTTTAAAAATAATTAATTAATTAATCTATTTTTGGCTGCGTTGGGTCTTCGTTGCTGCGTGCGGGCTTTTTCTCCAGTTGCGGCGGGCGGGGCTACTCTTCTTTGTGGTCGCAGGCTTCTCATTGCGGTGGCTTCTCTTGTTGCGGAGCACGGGCTCTAGGCGCGTGGGCTTCAGTAGTTGTGGCATGGGGGCTCAGTAGTTGTGGCTCGTGGGCTCTAGAGCACAGACTCAGTAGTTGTGGCACACGGGCTTAGTTGCTCCGCGGCATGTAGGATCTTCCCGGACCAGGGCTCGAACTCATGTCCCCTGCTTTGGCAGGTTGATTCTTAACCGCTGGGCCACCAGGGAAGTCCCAGTAGTGCCTTTTTTGAGAAACACTGGCATCCTATCTCCAGCTTTCATTTATCAGCATCCAAGAAGGAACCCTTCAGTAAACTAAAACATTTAATATAAATATATCCTCTCTTCCCTATGAAAAATTCTGTGAGTTCATAAGAGCAAGAACTTTTAGTTATCAGTAGTGGAGTTCCAAGATGTTTTTTAGAGTAGTCCCTATCTTAATTTGTGGCATAGGGAGTTGGCCTGTTTTCCCTCCTGATAAATTTGCATCTCCCTGTTATTGGTATAGGTTGGAATTGAGATGGAACATTTCCCAGAATTTGAGAATGATGTGGAATTCACTGAGCAGTTAGTTGCTGAGCAATCCGTCCACTGCCTCCCAGCAACAGTGAGTGCTTACGTCTCTCAGGACACTCTCAACGGTTTCTAGAGCCTCAGGAACTCTCCCTGAGCTGGTCTTTAGCCTGACTTTCTCTCCCCCAACAAAGCATACTGTCGGCCTTCATATACTCAGGTTCCTCATCCACGGATTCAACCAACTGTGGATGGAAAAATATGAGGGGAAAAAAATCCCAGAAAGTTCCCAAACTTGAATTTGCTGCAGACTGGCAACTATTTACCTAGCATTTACATTGTATTAGGTATTAAAAGTAACCTAGAGATGATTTAAAGTACACAGGAAGAGGTATGTAGGCTATGCAAATACTATGCCATTTTATATATGGGACTTGAGCATCCTCGGATTTTGGCACTCTCGAAGGTTCTGGAACCAACCCTCCATGGATACTGAGGGACTACTGTATTCTCTTTCGAAAAGATTCAAACTGATGGGTCTCATGACCTCTATTTAAAATTTGTTTCCCCCCCATCCAGGAAGAAAAATTGTGGTTGAACATTCTAGGTGAGAGGAAATCAAGCTCGTCCCACAAATTCCTTTTAAGATAAATTAACTCAGTTACTGGCTTAGCAGTCCAGTGGTGGGAACTGAGTGAAATGACAGCCTTGGGTAAATGGCATCACTGCTTTTTGCTGATTAGGGCCCTGGCCATATTAGGGTGGTCCAGTCCCTGATTCAATTGCTCTGAGAATAACAGGCTTTTGTTTTTGCAGTGCTTCGAGTACCCAAATTTCTTCCGAGTAGTAATCACAATCCCCGAAGTGATGTTGCTGGAGGCCTGTAGCCGGATCCAGGAGTTCTGTGACCAGCACTACCATTGTGCTGAAGGGAGCCCGGAGGAATGCGACAAATAGGACGCAGTCCATTCTCCTGAGTGTGTGTCCCATCGGGCTGGGGAGAGTGGGACTGAGCCCTGCTGCTCCTCAGGTGCCCCTGCTGGGAGAGGGGCCTCACAAATACCACGACAAGGGCTCAGAATTGCTCCAGCTTTCCCCCAGCTGTATCCACACACACACTCTGAACCCCAGATTTCATCGCATTCCGCTCTGCTGGAGTGACTCACTAATTCATTAATCCACCCCTATGACTTCCATCAATCCATCCTCCCATATGACTTCCTCCTTTTAGCTTGAGAGTACCAGGTGAACAAAGTTACCGAGGAAACGGTAGAGACAGGAAAATTAAGAACTCAGGATTAGAGAATCAAAAGATTGAGGCAAGTTGTGCCCCCAACCATTTCCTCTTACTCTAAGTAAGAACACATTCTCTTCAGTCAGGTCTGAAGCCCAACTCTGTTACTGGCTCACTTCAGGTATACATCACGGTATGCAATAATGCTATAATGAAAGAAGTTGGGGACACATGTATTTGGTTAATTCTAAACACATTAGGAAAGCTTGCCAATTTGAAGGATCACTTACAGAAACTTTTCGTTGATTTTTTTTTTGTAGAGAATTATTTTGTGATACAAAGAAATTTAATTGATAGAGATTCTAAACGTAGATATATGTGTATCAGGCTTTCTTAAAATGACGGCACATCTGTACTAAAAAAAGGAGGAATCAGAGGACCTTCCAGGAACGCTGCTGTGTAAGGGCCAGAATTTTCTTCATTCGTCATTGTTATAGAATCATTATTACTTTTGCTGTAACATTGATATTGATTTATTGATATATATGTTATATTATCTTTTCATATGTTTTCTAAGAAACATTTATATTGAAAGGATCTTTTATTTTGCCAAGGGCATAAATTATTGTTTTCCTTTTTCTTTTTTTTTTTAATAAATTTTACTAAGTATTCTCTTCTGTGATGTCATTTTTCTCCTCTGTGGGGAATTTCTATCCCCAGGTGCTACTTATTGCTCAGTCTGATTGATTTATTACCCACTAGGTTTCATTTATTTCTTTGTAGATGTACTGACATTTGGAGTCACTTAAGAAACACTATTCCTAAAATATTTTATTTGGGAGCTCAACTTCTTGCTTGTACTTACAAACACGACAAACTAAGAAGCAACATTATAAACACCTGGCCTCTGACTTCACACTTTCAACTTTTGGGATCCCCACTCTCCAAATTCCTACACTTCTCTAGATCTACTAACCACTCACTGGGTAACAAGTTGAACTGGTTCAGCTAACCAAGAGAATGAGGTGTGTCCGGTGTGCTCATCTTTCAGTATGAGCTTTTTGTCTGCAAATCCTCTTAAGCACAGTTGCCTAATTTTTTCCTAACCATTTCCCTTGGAGGAGGGAGCCTGAAGTTATTTTGCAAGGTTAGGGGCAGGAATATACCATAATCAATCTGGGAATTCTTCACTAAGGGATGTTTTCCTTATCTAGAATAGGAACTTCAAGTCTCAACTCTGCCAACCACGCCCAATTAATTTCCTTTACAAAAATAAACATCAAACATCCCCTTCCCATCTATGTCGGACTTCGTTGAACTAAAATTTACCCTTTTTTTTCAGCAAAACCAAGAGGAATATACAATGATTGAGATGAAAAACATTTGTTTCCTGTATGCCACTCCTGCCGATTTTTCGAAAATTCCTGGCTCCTCTTTTCCTGTACCTCTGGCCCCAACTCCCAAGGATATCTGTCCAGAGATAAACAGGAAGACTTAGTGGTTTACACAAAACGTTTTATCGTCACACGTATGTATAATTCTATCCAGCATTACTGAATCTAGACAGACTTCTTAAATTTCCAAATTTCCTTGATATCTACCATTTTGGTAAGGGAGTCAAATGAAAATTCAAAGATTTAAAAAACAAAACGGGGACTTCCCTGGTGGCGCAGTGGTTAAGAATCCACCTGCCAATTCAGGGGACATGGGTTCCAGCCCTGGTCCGGGAAGATCCCTCATGCCGCACAGCAACTAAGCCCATGCACCACAACTACTGAGCCTGTGATCTAGGGGCCGTGCCCTAGAGCCCACGAGCCACAACTACTGAAGTCTGCCCGCCTAGAGCCCGTGCTCCACAACAAGAGAAGCCACCGCATGAGAAGCACGTGCACCACAGTGAAGAGTAGCCCCTGCTCACCACAACTGGAGAAAGCCCCTGTGCAGCAACAAAGACCCAATGCAGCCAAAAATATATAAATAAATAATTTTTTAAAATAAAATAAAATAAAATAAACAAAAATACATGCACATTGGACATATTTCAAACGATGCAAAAAAATAAAAAAAAACACTCATGCCAGTCCTTTATCACCTTTTCTTCTCCCCTGAGGTAATCACAGTAGCAGTTGCTGATCCATTCTTTGAGATTATTCTGTGTACACATAAATGCTTTTGCGTGTGAATTTTTCCTTTTTTTTTTTTTTTCCTTTCTTCGAAGTAACTATTACTCAACTTTTTAATTCAGCTTCTGTGGAAGTCTAAGGAGGGATGACATTTCTGTCCATCATGTCCTGGGTGATTCTGAATAAAAAAGGGACCCCCTGGTCGGGGCTGCTTCCAAACAAGATTAAAATTCCCAAGAGACAATTCCCAGCTGCTTCGCGGATGGCGGCAGCAGGATAGTGGCTTCCGAGCGTCCCAGGATAAAACAAAGGATGCTTTAAAATGTCGGAGACAAGGGCTCGCAGCTGTGAATTCACCTTTCTGTCTAACCTACGGGATAACCGGCGAGTTACCACTGACCCGGTACCACACACCGTCCCACTCTAGTCCCTGGCAGTCACCAACGACCCAACCCTGCTCTGGGTGACCGTGTTGGAAGAGGAGGGGGTCGGGGGATGGAGCGGTGGGGGAGTTGGGGTGGGGTAGAGCGGGGGAAAGAACCCACGGCTGCGCAGGCACAAATGCTAATGAGGGCAGCGCACTACTCAGGGCGCATGCGCAGTCACGGGACTACGAGACGCCGCAGACCGTGAGGCGCCGGCGAGGTTGCGCATCTCTAGTGGGAGAGACTACCTTTTCTCCGGATGTTCGGTTTTGTTTCCTCCTTCAGCCTATTTCTCGGACCCGCGCCTTTTTGAGAGATTCCCTTCCTCCTTTGCCCCCTTTTCGGGCCACATCAGGCGGGAGGCTTCCAGAAAGTCGACAAGTCATCTTTAGGTATTGTAAACATCTGTTAACCTTTTCCTAGCTGTGGGCGGGTGCCAGTAAGTCCCATAAGTTGTGAAACAGAAGCAGAAGTTCCCAGGAGCTGTTGTCAGTTTTCAAAAGTATCCCTGGAAATTTTCTTAGAAGAATCGTATCCTTCATGGTCCCGAGTGCATGGCATATATGTTTGGATTTCTGCCGAGCCAGAAAGGTGAATCGTCTGCTGTGCTTCACGCACACCACACTTTACTGTGCAGGAGGGCCTGTATTTTAAGTACTCTAAAGGCTGAAATATTGAATCTGTTGGAGAAGTGAATCCCCGGTACATCTTATTCATACTCTTATTTACTTTAAACAGTTTGTGTGTTTACAAACGGGTTTCATAATGGTGTCATAGAAACCAAACATCTGGATGCTCTCTATGGGTCAGATTGTTGCAGAGCACCTTCCAAAGAAACAGTCACTTTCTGACAATCTAATTGAGGTGTGTTATGTAGGAAGCAGGTGATGCTAATTCTGCGAAGAAAACAGTCTGCAAACTAGCAAGTGTGTCTTAATTTTTGTCAGTGTTTCAAGCATAGAAAAGAATTCTTGCCCCTTGAGACATTTACTCATTTGAAAATTGAAATGCAAAGTACATTATGAAATTCAAAGTACGTTATCCCGGGCTTCCCTGGTGGCGCAGTGGTTGAGAGTCCGCCTGCCGATGCAGGGGACACGGGTTCGTGCCCCGGTCCGGGAAGATCCTACATGCCGTGGAGCGGCTGGGCCCGTGAGCCATGGCCGCTGAGCCTGCGCGTCCGTCCGGAGCCTGTGCTCCGCAACGGGAGAGGCCACAACAGTGAAAGGCCTGGGACCCAAAAAAAAAAAAAAAAAGTACGTTATGCCGTGTTTAAAAAATAAAGCCGCAGGGAGTTCTTGCTTTGTCAGCACATATACTAAAATTGGAACAATACAGAGAAGACGAGCATAGTACCAGCAATCCAAATACAACAGCCCATTAAAAAGATTATGTACCATGACCAAGTGGGATTTTTTGTTTTTTAAATTTATTTATTTTTGTCTGCGTTGGGTCTTCATTGCTGCGTGCGGGCTTCTCATTGGAGTGGTTTCTTTTGTTGTGGTTCACGGGCCCTAAGTGCATAGGCTTCTGTAGTTGTGGCAGGCAGGCTCAGTAGTTGTGGCTCACGGGCTCTAGGGCGCAGGCTCAGTAGCTGTGGCGCACGGGCTTAGTTGCTCCGCGGCATGTGGGATCTTCCCGGACTAGGGCTACAAACCTGTGTCCCTTGCATTGGCAGGCAGATTCTTAACCACTGCGCCACCAGGGAGGCCCCGACCAAGTGGGATTTATTTCTGGAATATGGGAATGGTTCAACAAATGAAAAAAAAGTCAGTGTAATACACCTCAATAACAGAATGAAGGACAAAAACGACCTGGTCATCTCAGTGATGCTAACAAAACATTTGACAAGATTCTACACCTTTTTTTTTGCTGTACGCGGGCCTCTCACTGCTGTGGCCTCTCCCGTTGCGGAGCACAGGCTCCGGACGCGCAGGCTCAGCGGCCATGGCTCACGGGCCCAGCCACTCCGTGGCATGTGGGATCTTCCCGGACCGGGGCACGAACCCGTGTCCCCTGCATCGGCAGGCGGACTCTCAACCATTGCGCCACCAGGGAAGCCCCCTCTACACCTTTTTATGATAAACACACTCAAACTAGAAATAGAAGGAAACTACCACAACAGTAACAGTGGTGGCAAGGATGTGGAGAAATCGTAATGCTCACGCACTGCTGGCAGGAATGTAAGATGGTTCAGCAACTTTGGAAAACAGTTTGGCAGTTTCTCAAAAGGTTAAAAATATAGTTGCCATATGACCCATCCATTCCACTCCTAGAGAAATGAAAACTTATGTCCACATAAAACTTTTACAAGAATGTCCATAGCAGCATTATTCATAATAGCCAGAAAATGGAAACAACCCAAATATCTATCAGCTGATGAATGCATAAATAAGACGTGATATATCCATCCATGGAATATTACTTGAGAGGAAAAAAGAATGTTGTACTGATGCATGCTGCGACATGGATGAACCTTGAAAACATTGTGCTAAGTGAAAGAAGCCAGTGGAAAAGAGCATATTTTGTGTAATTCCATTTATATCAAATGTCCAAACTAGACAAAAAAGAGACTAGTGGTTGCCTAGAGTTGAGTGTGAGGATGTATGTGGTGGGGATGGGTAGGGGGTGGGGGTGGAGATCGACTGCTTACAGATGCAGGGTTTCTTTGGGGGGCAATGAAAATATTCTAAAATTGATTGTGTTGATGGTGGTGCGATTGTGTATATACTAAAAACCATCAAACTATACACTAAATGTGTGAATTGTATGGTATGTGAACTATACCTCCACAACACTGTTTTTCTTTTTTAAAGGTGCAGAGGAGTCAGACTTCAGGAAGACCAACTCAAATATTTGGCATTTAAAGGAATTTCAAGTTTTTAAAAGAAAGGTAAGAAACCTGAGAAATTACCAGTTTCATTCATCTGATCATGTTAGGAAAACAACTTTTTCTCATGTTAACCATATCCACAAAGATTGTGACATCATTTCAGACACTTGCATTCTAAAAGTCAGGGATAGCACCATTTTTTATTAGGGAGTCCACACTTGTAGGAATTACTTACTTTTTAAGTTTTTCCTCAGGACTGAAATTAGATGAGATGACTCCATCATCATTTGTTCATCTTGGGGTACAAAGTGCTTATTTCTCCTGATTCTAGCATTTCATAATGGAAGCAGGGCAAAGCATCGGTGGGGCTTGCACACTGGGAAAAATAAGAAATTTCTAGAAAAACATCTGGGATGTTTCTATAAATAGCAGAAATAGTTCGTATATTATACTAGTGCGGTTTTCTGTTCATGTGTTCTCTAAAATAATTTTGAACTCTGACTATGAAAATTTTAAATATGTATAAAAGAAACAATAGTATAGTTAATATCCGTATATCCATCATCCATTATCAAGACTTTGCCATATTTCTTCCTTCCTCCTTTTCCTTGTTTTCTTTGTTGAAGTATTTATAAAGCAAATCCTAGGCACATGTCATTTCCTCTCATGCCCGTCAGTATGCATCTCCAAAAACCTAATTTCTTTCTTTTTTTTTTTTTTTTTTTTTTTTGCGGTACGCGGGCCTCTCACTGTTGTGGGCTCTCCCGTTGCACAGCACAGGCTCCGGATGCGCAGGCGCAGCGGCCATGGCTCACGGGCCCAGCCACTCCACGGCATGTGCGATCTTCCCGGACCGGGGCACAAACCCGTGTCCCCTGCATCGGCAGGTGGACTCTCAACCACTGCGCCACCAGGGAAGCCCAAACCTAATTTCTTAATTACAATGCCACATTGCATCAAATAATCAGATCTCTTCAACTGTATACAAAATATCTTTTTATAGTTGGTTCATTTGGGGTAGGATCTGAACAAGGTTCAAATATTACTTTTAGTTTTACATCTCTTAAATTTCTCTTAATCTTTTCATGCCATTGACTTAGTTGTCAAAACAGTTGTCTTATGAAATTTCCCACATTCTGGATGTGGCAGACATTCTTGTGGTGTCATTTAACTTGTTCCTCTAAGCCCCAAACATCCATTAAATGGAATTTAGCTCTAGAGCATGTATTTTCAACTGGGGCATTATTGGAAATTTTACATTGTTACTTTTCTCTCCTGATCTTGTGTCTCTATTCCACGTTTCCCCCCAATTTTATGTTAATGTGATACTTCTTTATCCTTAAAAGTATTTTACTGATTATTTTTCTGTGCAACAGAAATATGGACAGACGTGGCAGACTGCTAGACATTCCCCAGTACCCATTCTCCCCTTCTTTTCTGGTATTAAAACTCCTGGACTAGGACCACTTTTCATGTGAATTTCTCAGCTTGGGGTCCCAGACCATGCAGGCAGAATGCATTTGAACACCAAATCCACGTAAAGGAATGCCTATGGTTACAGATTCTCACGGGAGAGGTTTTTTCTTCCCAGAGGCCAGACCGAGAGAGATTTCTTTCTTTTTTTTTTTTTTGTATTGCCTGTTCGATACAATCTTACCTGTGTAGCTTGTATTTTTTTTAACATCTATTGGAGTATAATTGCTTTACAATGGTGTGTCAGTTTCTGCTTTATAACAAAGTGAGTCAGTTATACATATACATACGTCCCCATATCTCTTCCCTCTTGCGTATCCCTCCTCCCACCCTCCCTATCCCACCCCTCTAGGTGGTCACAAAGCACCGAGCTGACCTCCCTGTGCTATGCGGCTGCTTCCCACTAGCTATCTATTTTACGTTTGGTAGTGTATATATGTCCATGCCACTGTCTCACTCTGTCCCAGCTTACCCTTCCCCCTCCCCGTATCCTCAAGTCCATTCTCTAGTAGGTATGGATCTTTATTCCCATCTTGCCCCTAGGTTCTTCATGACCATTTTTTTTTTCAGATTCCATATATATGTGTTAGCATCGGTATTTGTTTTTCTCTTTCTGACTTACTTCACTCTGTATGACAGTCTCTAGGTCCATCCACCTCACTACAAATAACTCAGTTTCGTTCCTTTTCATGGCTGAGTAATATTCCATTGTATATATGTGCCACATCTTCTTTATCCATTCATCTGTTGATGGAAACTTCGGTTGCTTCCATGTCCTGGCTTGTAAATAGAGCTGCAATGAACATTTTGGTACATGACTCTTTTTGAATTATGGTTTTCTCAGGGTATATGCCCAGTAATGGGATTGCTGGGTCATATGGTAGTTCTATTTTAGTTTTTTTTTTGTGTGTGTGTGTGTGTGGCACGCTGACCTCTCACTGTTGTGGCCTCTCCCTTTGCAGAGCACAGGCTCCAGACGTGCAGGCTCAGCGGCCATGGCTCACGGGCCCAGCCACTCTGCGGCACATGGGATCTTTCTGCACTGGGGCATGAACCCGTGTCCCCTGCATCGGCAGGCGGACTCTCAACCACTGCGCCACCAGGGAAGCCCCTATTTTAGTTTTTTTAAGGAACCTCCATACTGTTCTCCATAGTGGTTGTATCAGTTTACATTCCCACCAACAGTGCAGGAGGGTTCCCTTTTCTCCACGCCCTCTCCAGCATTTATTGTTTGTAGATTTTTTGATGATGGACATTCTGACCGGTGAGAGATGGTATCTCATTGTAGTTTTGATTTGCATTTCTCTAATGATTAATGACGTTGAGCATTCTTTCATGTGTTTTTTGGCAATCTGTATATCTTCTTTGGAGAAATGTCTATTTAGGTCTTCTGCCCATTTTTGGATTGGGTTCTTTGTTTTTTTAATATTGAGCTGCATGAGCTGCTTGTAAATTTTGGAGATTACTCCTTTGTCAGTTGCTTCATCTGCAAATATTTCCTCCCATTCTGAGGGTTGTCTTTTGGTCTTGTTTATGGTTTCCTTTGCTGTGCAAAAGCTTTTAAGTTTCATTAGGTCCCATTTGTTTATTTTTGTTTTTATTTCCATTTCTCTAGGAGGTGGGTGAAAAAGGATCCTGCTGTGATTTCTGTCATAGAGTGTTCTGCCTGTGTTTTCCTCTAAGAGTTTGATGGTGTCTGGCCTTACATTTAGGTCTTTAATCCATTTTGAGTTTATTTTTGTGTGTGGTGTTAGGGAGTGTTCTCATTTCATTCTTTTACATATAGCTGTCCAGTTTTCCCAGCACCACTTATTGAAAAGGCTATCTTTTCTCCACTGTATATTCTTGCCTCCTTTATCAAAGATAAGATGACCATATATATGTGGGTTTATCTCTGGGCTTTCTATCCTGTTCCACTGATCTCTTTTCTGTTTCTGTGCCAGTACCATACTGTCTCGATTACTGTAGCTTTGTAGTATAGTCTGAAGTCAGGGAGCCTGATTCCTCCAGCTCCGTTTTTCTTTCTCAAGATTCCTTTGGCTATTCAGAGTCTTTTGTGTTTCCATACAAGTTGTGAAATTTTTTGTTCTAGTTCTGTGAAAAAGGCCAGTGGTAGTTTGATAGGGATTGCATTGAATCTGTAGATTGCTTTGGGTAGTAGAGTCATTTCCACAATGTTGATTCTTCCAGTCCAAGAACATGGTATATCTCTCCATCTATTTGTATCATCTTTATTTCTTTCATCAGTGTCTTATAATTTTCTACATACAGGTCTTTTTCCTCCATAGGTAGGTTTAATCCTAGGTATTTTATTCTTTTTGTTGCAGTGATAAATGGGAGTGTTTTCTTAATTTCACTTTCAGATTTTTCATCATTAGTGTATATGAATGCAAGAGATTTCTGTGCATTAATATTGTATCCTGCTACTTTACCAAATTCATTGATTAGCTCTAGTAGTTTTCTGGTAGCATCTTTAGGATTCTCTATGTATAGTATCATGTCATCTGCAAACAGTGACAGCTTTACCTCTTCTTTTCCAATTTGTATTCCTTTCATTTCTTTTTCTTCTATGATTGCTATGGCTAAAACTTCCAAAACTATGTTGAATAATAGTGGTGAGAGTGGGCAGCCTTGTCTTGTTCCTGATCTTAGTGGAAACGGTTTCAATTTTTCACCATTGAGAAGAATGTTGGCTGTGGGTTTGTCATATATGGCCTTTACTAGGATGAGGAAAGTTCTCTCTATCCCTACTTTCAGGAGGGTTTTTATCATAAATGGGTGTTGAATTTTGTCAAAAGCTTTCTCTGCATCTATGGAGATGATCACATGGGGTTCTTTTTGTTTGTTTGTTTGTTTTTGTGGTACACGGGCCTCTTACTGCTGTGGCCTCTCCCGTTGCAGAGCACAGGCTCTGGACACGCAGGCACAGCGGCCATGGCTCACAGACCCAGCTGCTCCGCGGCATGTGGGATCCTCCTGGACCGGGGCACAAACCCGTGTCCCCTGCATAGGCAGGCGGACTCTCAACCACTGCGCCACCAGGGAAGCCCGATCATATGGTTTTTCTCCTTCAGTTTGTTAATATGGTGTATCACGTTGATTGATTTGCGTATATTGAAGAAGACTTGCATTCCTGGGAGAAACCCCACTTGATCATGGTGTATGATCCTTTTAATGTGTTGTTAGATTCTGTTTGCTAGTATTTTGTTGAGGATTTTTGCATCTATGTTCAACAGTGATATTGGCCTGTAGTTTTCTTTCTTTGTGACATCTTTGTCTGGTTTTGGTATCAGAGTGATGGTGGCCTCGTAGAATGAGTTTGCGAGTGTTCCTCCCTCTGCTATCTTTTGGAAGAGTTTGAGAAGGATAGGTGTTAGCTCTCCTCTAAATATTTGATAGAATTCACCTGTGAAGCCATCGGGTCCTGGGCTTTTGTTTGTTGGAAGATGTTTAATCACAGTTTCAATTTCAGTGCTTGTGATTGCTCTTTTCATATTTTCTATTTCTTCCTGGTTCAGCCTCGGAAGGTTGTGCATTTCTACGAATTTGTCCATTTCTCCCAGGTTGTCCATTTTATTGTCATATAG